AGGCTAAATACGGGTAATAATATGAATTAAAAACAGAATTAATAATAAATTAAATTAATTAATATAAATTACTTATTCGTCTGATTTAGTAGTAATTAATAATTACTGTGCCACGTACTGCAGCTGCATCATTTACTGCGCTGTATCTATTGCATCACACAAATAAGCTGATTGATTACAATATATATAGTAGTATATTTCAAGTAGAAATAACTTATGCTAAAAAATTTTGAACCATCAAGTATAATTATTATAGATATATAATATATATTATAAAATTATACTTTTATAAGTTATCAAGTCAAATAAAAAAAGTAAGTATCAAAAAAGTAATATTATTAAAAATATAGCTGATTCAGTAATATATTGAGATTATTAAAAATATAACCAATTCAGTAATACATTAAGATTATTAAAAATATAACTAATTTAATAATATATCAAGATTATTAAAAATATAATTAATTCAGTAATACATTAAGATTATCAAAAATATAGCTGATTTATTAATATATTAAGATTATCAAAAATATAGCTGATTTATTAATATATTAAGATTATCAAAAAAGTAATATATTAAGATTATTAAAAAAGTAATATATCAAGATTATCAAAAAAGTAATATATCAAGATTATCAAAAATATAATCAAATTTTTTTAACATAAAGCAAAGTATTTAAAAGTATTAATTATGTGAGAAAATATTCTAGAATCAAAAAATATAGTAAACTTTTTGATAATATGTCAAGATAGAATATTATAGGGAAAAAGATAAGATAAATTTATACTTTAATATATTACCAAATAAATGATAATAATTTGATACTATATAACTTATTATTAAATGATATTTGAATAAATTATATAAAGCTAACAACTATTAATATTTAATACTATATATCTCATTCTTAAATAAATTATATGAAGTTAATAACTGCTAATAATTTAACATTATATGTCTTATTCTTGATTAATACTCAAATACATTATAATAGTTAGTAATTTGATATTATATATCTCATTCTTGGATGATATTTGAATGAATTATAGAAAGTTAACAATTATTAATAATTCAGTACTATATGTTTCATTATTAGATGCTTTGATATATTATCAGATATATTAATAATTTGAAATTATGTATCTCATTCTTAATTGATACTTAAGTATATTATAATAGTTAGCAATTTGGTACTACATACCTCATTATTAAATAATATTTAAATAAATTATATAAAGCTAATAATTGTTAACAATTACTAATAATTTAGTACTATATGTCTTATTCTCTAGTGATATTTAAATAAATTATACAAAGATAATAATTGCTAACAATTCAGGGTTAATTATTAGCAAAGTAAATTGATAACATGATTTGATAATATTTTATGATGTATATATTAATAGTAATTGCATATATATGTTTGATAGCATACTTAATAGTAGAAATATAATATACTTGATAGTAATAGGTAGATAATATTAGATCAGCAAATGATAATACATAACTAAATATATTATTAGTATATTTTTTTGCTAATATCAAAAATCAGAATTTGACTTTTTAAAGAATATATAAATTATCTATCCATAAATGTAATAACATGAATATAAATTATTATCATATTTTTTATAAATTGTGAATATTCAAATATGATGATGTGAATATAAATTCATCATCATATTTTTTTATAGATTACAAATATCTAAGTGTGATAATGAACTCATGAACTAATCATCACTCAAATGATGATGCATATATATAATTTCATCATTATATATAATCTAGACTAAGTGAAAATAATATAATTATGTTATTTTCACTTAAGATATATATAATAAGTTAATAAATAATACATATAATAAAAAGATAAGATAAATATTTTAAAAAGAAAAAAAAAATAAATTAAATTCATTACTAAACTATTTTTAAAGTATTTCTGAATTATTATTAAACTATTTATGAACTATTATTAATTTTTGAGTTATTTATTAATTAAGATCTTGAAGTATTATTAAAATATTGCAGAAATATTATAAAAATATTGTTGAATTGTGACTGAATTTATAATTAATATACTAATTAAATTATTTTAAATTATATATCTTCTAAAGATCACTTGATTAATTAAAAATTCCAAGTTTAAAAAATTATAAAATTAAAAAAATTTATATTATTATAATAATATTTGATCTCTCTAAGTAAGATCAAGCTCTAGCAAGACTAATTAAATTCTTTTTAAAATTTCTTTGATTTCTTTATTTTTTATATGTATAAGATTATTATAAGTAATTTATTAAAAATTGCAAGTCTTTTTAAGTTCACATTTTAATAATAGTTAATGAATTCATTTTTCAAGAAGGAAATATCTTCTGATTAAAGTTATTCCTTTGAATTAAGCTAATTCTCTTTGCAATTTTATTAATTTTTGTGATTATAATCCATTATACTAATAATTATTGAAAAGTTTTCTTATTAAATAATGACTAAAAATAATAAAATTTAAGATAAAATTTGAAAATTAATAAATAAAATTAAATAAAATAATAAATTGCTTTATAAATTCAAGATAAAAAAATTTATCATAATTTTATTGTATTTTGAAGAGATTTTTGTTGAATTTCATTCTTTTTACTTAAGTTATGTTTGGCTTTAAAATGGTCAGATATATCAGAAATACTATCTTTATTAACTGAAATAAAGAATTTTGCAATAATTACACTTAGATATTTTTTTTTATTTCATCAAATATAATGTTTCAAACCCAACTACACTGTTAATAAGATAATCAACAGTTTTTGTTTTTTTTTAATTATTACTATTCTCTAAAATTTTCATTATTATTAAATTATCATTATTAATTATTATTATGATCATTGTGATTCGAGTAAACCGTTACCGATCGGTAATTATTCAACGGTAATTACCGAACAGTTCGGATGCCTACAAATATTAAATGTAGAAAGATAACTGTTATTTGCACTATTACAATAAAGGCTAAAAAAGATCAACAAAAATTGATAGAATTTTCAAATAATAATACAAAATAAGTATATATATATATATTAACTTAAAACATTAGCTTCAAAGATAGTCTAATTTTCCGATTATTAAAGAGACATTACTTTTGTATGTGGCGTATTTTTGTTTGGAATTGTTTTATTTGTGTGTATGCGTGTTAAAAGAGTGTTGTGAATCCTGTTCACAAATTTATGATTATAATTTATAATTATAGCTATGTAAATTATATATATATATAAATTAAAAAATGATGTTTAAATACAGAAAAGTCATCGCTCGTTCTTTTTCTACCACAATTAGATTTCTTCGCAATTATAAGTATAGTAATAAAAAGTGAAATATTCATACAAAAAATCATAGCAATTAATTAATACAATTTTTAAATTAATGATAGCAATGTTGATAAATAAATAAGAATAAATAAATAAATAAATAAATAATTTTTGTTAATTAAATTGACAAACATATGCGAATTTTGAGAATGTCAATGTGTATTCGAAGAAACCTAAAATTAAATGTTCGTGGTAATAAATAATGTTTTTGTTGCGGAATTGAGTGATTTATGTATTTGAAGATTTTGGAAGAGAAGGATTTTAATGACAATTGAAAAAAAGAAAAGATAATAAAATGATTTAGGACGGATTTATTCGATAGAAAATGCATCCCTATCAACAACTCCCAAAGCTCTCATCACTTGCTCCAGTTTCTCTTCGACAGTCATGCCAAACCCACCAACAGCGTCACCAATTACATTATCATCATCATCACTAACATATTCCAATTCTCTTTCTTCCTCAGGAACTGCACTTCCATATCTATATCCACCAGTTCCCCAGCTTAAATCAACACTGCCCAATCCTCTAGTCATTTCTTCTAATAGCCGCGGCAAAGGAACATCTTTTGCTATATATACACTAGTTCGCGGTATAATGTTCGTACCGTCTTCGTAAGAGAAAGTTGAGCCATTAGATTGTGTCCACTGTTCATGTAAATCTCGATTAGGGCTACGATTACTATCACGATTGTGTATTGAAGACGGCTGCACATCGGATACGTGTAATGGACTCAGATAACCACCTTGGGAATAATCAAAACTATTTAATTTAGAATCAAGTGTCCGTAATTCTGATTCCATCATTTCCTCGTCGTCACTTTCGCCAAATTCTCTTGCCCACATTTGCGAGTCGTTATACTCTTCCTCGTCACCGGCATTGTAAAAATAGCTATATCGGTTTATCATGTCATCCCCCCGGAGCCCATTTACCACTTGCCATATCAATGAACCATCGTCCAACTCTAATAGTTCTACATGCTCTTCTTTTTCCAGCTTTTCAACCAACTCTTTTTCATTAACATTTATTGGAACGAACAAGCCTTCTTCGGGATTTATTGATTCATCATCAGATATAATTTCTCGTTTGTGATATTCTTCACCAATTTCGGATTTTTCTTCCTGTTTTTGGTCTTTATTTTGAACATCTTTACCTTCATTATCAGCATCTTCTTGATCGGAATAATCATAATAATCGTATAGACTATCACCATATGTGCTGTATATACTTTTACCACCCAGTGATTTACGTTTACGACTTCCAGATGATAACGTGGATGTCATACTTGTCTTGCTACTTCGTTTAACAGACAATGGAGTATTCAATGATAGATAACTATCGTGTTTATCCGGGATGGGTGGTATCGGGATTCCATAAGGAAGTTCCAAACCACTTTGTCGAGAACCGGGCGATGGTAATGGAGTCGGAGGCCGATTGATTGATTTTCGTTTGATCGGTACAGCTAGAAGATTCGTAGAGCTCATACTTGTTCGATTACTAGTATTATTACTTGTTATAGATTTTCTGTCACTATTATTAGCGGTTGAATCAATATCACTTGTAATGTCACTAGTAATGTCCCCGGATATTCCATCCTTTGTATTACTATTATCATTTTCAGTTTCATTATTATCTTCTTTAACATCTGATTTTATTGGCTGCAGTTTCTCCGAATTTTGTTCCTCTTTTGTTAGATACCATTTCTTACCATGAGAACTAACATGTATTCCACCGTCTAAACCAATCTTTTTCTTTCGTAGCGAAACTTGCCGACTAGCTCGATGTGCTAATTTTATCGAAACGGTGGCTTCTGATTCTTCTGATTCGTCAGGCAGCGGCGGTAGAGATGACTTTGTGATAATAATAGTTCGACGGACAATTTTATTTTTGGGCTTTTTAGTATTTTTATTTTCATCTGTGAAATTTGCTTGGATAAGATCCAATCCATTATTATTCTTTTCACTAATGTCACCACTATTATGTTTATCAGTGCTGGAATTATTGCTAGTTCGTTTATTTTTAAAACCTTTTCCACTTCCATTATTTGTCCGATGATGAAAAATTGATAATAAACGACTCGAAGTTCGAGAACCTCTTGATCCTCGTTTATCACCTCCGTCCAATGTATTATTGTCACTGTGATTACTCTTCATAGAGTCATTGCGACGGGATCTTGACTCTGGAGGTTGATTCCACTGTTGTTGAAAATTACCACGAAGTGGATTACGTGGTGCAATTGGTGGCGGTGATATTCTACCTGAAGTGGCATCACTTACAATAGATGTTGGGCTATATGTTGATAATGGACTCGGTAAACTGTCGGATCCAAAAGTATCTCGTGAACTAATTGCAAAATTGTGAGGTTGATCGTTATATAGAATTGGTTGTGGTTGAGGGGTACCGAAACCTGAAAGAGGTATCTGAACACTAAGTTTCTGTGGCGGTGAAGTTAGTATGGTATTTTCATCATATGTTTGTTCCTGTATTGTCGCACCAGAAATTTCGTTATCATTTATAATTTCATTTTCATTAACAGGCCAATTGTCTCTGTTTAATGATGATTTCTTGTCAGCTGTTGAATTATTCGACGATGAATCTTGAGAATTTTCCGATTGAGATGATGCTCGCGCTTCTGTTCCTGCTTTCTTGGCACTAGAATATTTTGTCACCATTTCTGCATGTCGTTTAATTCCATCAATATCGTACAAGGGAGCCAGTTTATCCGAAGATTCACTCTTTTTCGGAAGCTTATTTTTATTGCGACTCGGATCTTTTACCAATTCTGAATCACTTACAACCCACCTATTATTATATAGAGCTTGAAACGGTGCTTCATGGTTGTTTATATCACTGTGAGCTACTCTGTTTGTCTCCGACATTTCAGGTTGTATATCAGTCAACAGTGTCGTGCAATTATTAGTATTTACAAGGTACGCGAGATTATTAACGTTTCCTTTGCGACCATTCTGATGAATATCATGAAACGTCTTTCGACTATTTATTTCTCCATTATTTTTGCTCGGGGCCATATATCGTTTTCTCAAATTTTCTTCGGAAGTAAATTTTCTCGGTAAATTCTCGCTAGAAGAATTCGGCGACGATGATTCAAAATTACGTTTTTGCTTCTTGCCATTTTTTGTCACCTCATTATCACCACTGAATACATCTTTGAGCTTCTTTGAGAATTTCTTTCCAAGACTCGATTCAGAATCTCGCAATGAAAATTTTCTTCGAACATTGCCATTTGGAACATCATTCTGTAAATCATCTTCACGCGACAAATGAACAATCGGAACACTTTTCACATTCGAAGAGCTAGATACAAGATGTGGCGTGGAAATATCCTTTAAAGCTATATGTTTTTTAGGTTTTCTTAGTGGCTGTTTATTGAATTGAGGAATGGGTGGCGGAATAGGAATTGGGTCACTTAATAAGGAAGTTTGTACGCGTCTCGTTACTAATACTTGATGCGCGATATCTGCTTGCCCAGATGCGATTAGTGTTTCGGTGAGAGATTGTTTTGGTGGCTGTGGTTTTGTGGGGGGTGGTTTTTTATTACCGCGTGAGGAACGTTTGACGGGTTCTTTTTTTACTGGATGTAGTGATGATGTAGTAATACCATTAGCATCGCTGCCTAAGCTATCCACGATCTGCATCTTTGGAAGTTCAGTCTCGCGTTCTTCATAATGCTCATCTTCTTCATTACTTGAATTTATCGTCTGCAATTTTTTCGTGTTTGATGTCGTACTATTAGTCACTTGCTTAATACGCTGTAACGATTTTCCTATCGACGAACCAGTAGAAGAACGATCGATCAACCTACTAGGTTCCATCTGTTCTGAATTAGTTGATAAAGCTCTATGACTAAGTGGTTTCTGCTGATCTGTTCGTTCCGTATACACTGTTGGATTATAAACCGCATAATTATCAGAATTCGTAATGAGTGATCCCCCGCCATTAAGAATAGTATTATCGATAGAATTCATCGAGAGCATTGAATTCTGTAACACATCTATGGCAGAATACATAGGGTTGGTGAATTTTGCGGAAACAGGAGTAACGGATCGAACCATCAAAGATTGCTGACGAGATCCAGAATGTTGTTGTGAGAATTTGATAAGTCCTTGAGATAGTTTATCAAGAGGGGAAAGAGGAAGCGGTGGTGATAGTATAGTTTCGGTTACTAGACGGGTAATGAAAAAATATTAGGTTAGTTAAAAGTTAACTAGAGCTGATGATAATAACGACAAGAACTACTCTACTTTGAGATTCAAGAGTCTCGGGCAATTTAATTGGTAATGGTATATGCTGTTCCTCCCGCTGCTGAAGCTGTTGTTCATATTTTTGTTTTGTTTCCCATGAATCACCGGGAAGTTGCGTTATTGAGGGTTTTCGTGATTTCGGCGGAAATGGACGATCTTTTGTTGGACTTTCTAATAGACCAGATTGTCGTTTTCTTATTCTCGTATCTAGTATCTTATTTGTTGGCAATTTTTTCAATGATTCGCTATTAATGGGATTATTGTCCGGAAATATTGGTTTGTTGATTCCATCATTTCCATTTTTCTCGATATCCGAGAACTCTGTTGCAGGATCTTGATTTAATTGTGATAGAGGTGGTGATGGTTGAGGTAAGGTTGGTGATTGAAGAGAGGTAGGTGAATGAGGGGAGGTTGGAGAGGTTGGTGATTGAGGTAAGGGTGTGTGGTGTTGCTGCTGCTGTGGAGGTGGCGACCTTCCATTCTGTGTTGCACCACCACCATAATAGATTTTCCGTGAACTAATAAATTCGTTATGTAACGACGAAGATATTGAAGTTGTGACGGAAGAAGGTGGTGTGTAAGATGCCATTGAAGAGATCGACGCAGAATCATCATCGATATATTCCATTACGTTACTCAATGGCGAACGTGATTTTGATGAAGAGGAGGAGGTGACAGAGTAAGTATTTTTACTATGTTTTGAGAAGGCAGGTGATGGTAGAGTTATTATTTCGGAATTACTCATGTCCTTATTTTCCCATCCTGGTCTTGAAGCGACTTGTGATAATGGTGGTGGAGCTTTTGATTTTATTGTTGATGATGGTAGTCTGTCCGAGGGTACTACTGATGTCGGTTGTATGGTATCATCATTATTACTATTATTTTTAAGGTTAGTATTTTCTTCTTGTCCATTAGTATTGTTATAAGTTGCGGAATCATTATTGTTGTTGCTGTTGTTATTATTGTTATTATTGTTATTATTGTTATTATTATTATTAGTATTATTATTATTATTATTATTATTATTATTATTATTAGTAATAATAGTAGTAGTAGTTGTAGTAGTAGTATTAATACCATCATCATCATCATCATCATCATTATTATTATTATTATTATTCATAGTGACACCAATAATTTTTTCATTTGATATTATTGTGTTATTACTATTGTTATTATTGTCCATAATTATTGTGCCATTAATATTGTTACTGACTAGCGGATTTTTCAGGGGGCTAACAATATAAGTTGTTGTAGAAGTGTCTTCAGAATTCTCAACTTGCGATATACTACTACTATTATTATTGTTGTTGTTGTTGTTGTTGTTGTTGTTGTTGCTGTTGTTTTTATTACTATTACTCTCAACACAACTATTATCACCACCACCACCACCTTCACCACGTCTTAGAACACTAAACCGTTTCGTTAACGTGGGAAGGATGAGCGAAGTTCGAAAATCTGAAGAGGGTAAAAGATTCGATGTGTCGTTGTTAGAATCCGTTTTTTCAGATCTCTCTTCAAACTGTTGTTGTTGTTGCTGTTTTTGGTGGTGGTGATAATCCAAGCCCACCAGGGTTTTTTTTAAGTCTTGCTTTTTTCGAAATCTGTGCATTTTCTATTCTCTTTTTGAAATAGTCTTCCTCTCTCTCAAGCTATTCAAAATACTATAATCAAATAGTAATTTGGAATAGATACAGATTCTTGTTGTCTTGGTGGTGTTCAGTGATAGTTGGCAGACGCTCAGGACTAGAGAACTTGTTGTCTTTTGTCGTGTGGAAGAGCAAAGATTTTATGCTAGAAAAAAAATTGGAAAAAATATTAACAAAGAATTTTTTTTGCTTTGTATGCATATATAATGTTGAGAAACCTTTTCACTCTTTTCGCAAGCTGCCAAATAATAAGTAGTTAATAGCTCATTAGTTGTTGATAGGGTGGTTGTGGTGATAAGTAGCAAACAAAAAAAATATATGTGTAGTGGAAAAAGTTAAGTATATATTTTGTATATAAAGTATATTATCTGCTTGTTATCGTGTCCGGGGGGAGAAATGAAAGACGGGGGGTGAGGTTGGGGTATAATAGAAGTATGTATGGTAAAAAGTGCGCGCGTGCGTTGTGTGAGCTTCTGTGTGTTGATTGAATATCGAAGAAAAAGCTCTATGGTCCGAGTTTAATTTTCGATGAGTTGTTTAAAAAAACCATAATCCAAAATGCAATAAAACTCAAAAAAATTAAATGCTCCAATCAAAAAATTAGGATGTTGTGTAATTCATGCGCATTCGCCACTTATTGAATTTACTCAAATTCTATTATTATTTATATTAAAACAACCTATTTGTAGATTCATTTTTCGGACCACCAATGGATATCTTATTAATAGAAATCTGTAGATGCTTAATCCGATCATTTTTTATTGTATAATAGTATAATAATAATACATATAGATAACAAATTATAAAAGAGGAAACTTTTTATTCGATGAACGTTAAACTTATTATCTATTTTTATTATAAGAATAAATAAATACATATATATATATACAATAAACATATTTCTAGATATATCAATTCATTATTTTCGTCATTATACTTTGTGTTGCATTTTTATTTTTTTATTGTTTGTTGGAATTAATTTCCACGGTGATATTTCCTTTGTTCTTTTTTTTTGTGCAAACATGGTCAACGTGTTTGTTTGTAATTATAAATCATGAGAGAAGGTTGATGTTTTTTAGAGTCAATCGGATGAATGCTTTTTTTATTTCTTTTTATACCCCCATTCAAAGAATACTCATATGAGATAATCCCAAAACTTATGATCATAGAATTCTGGATTGCCGCTGTCAAGAAAACCTTAATTAAAATCAACAATGCCCCCCCCCCCCCCTGTTCTACACAATTGGGAGGCATAACACTCTGTTCTTTCGCAGTGTTGGCAATTTAATATGCGCAATTGGAATTGAGAATATGGCGCAGTTTTATTATGTCCAATTGAACAATGCCCGACTTGTGCATGTTCAAAGGAAAAAGAAAATCCTGCAACGCCACAATAAAAAACCTCCGATATTAAAAAAACTAACGTAACACAAGCTCATTTATTTATTGTCGTGTAACAATTAAGAAATCACGTGCACACATTACACAGAAACATGGTAAAAAATCAATTTTATTATATTTACATTTGTAAATAAAAATTTATCATTATTTCCATCTTCTATCATTATCATTGATGTTGCTATTGCTATTATTATTATTATTAATATTAGTATTACTATTCTCTTTAGCTGTTGGTGGTGGTTGCTGTTGTTGATATCCACCATTTGTTCCTCCGTCAGGATTAGGTTGATTATATCCACTTGGAACTGGATTCCATCTTTGTTGCTGTAAAGGTGGAGGTCCTTGTTGGTATCCTCCCACCGCCATGCCTATTCCCATTTGCTGTTGCGATTGTAATGGTGGTGGCTGTAACTGTTGTTGAGGAATTTGTTGTGCCTGTTGCATCCATTGAGCTTGACCACGTGGATCAGGGTTTTGATATCCAATAATATTTTGTTGTTGTGGTTGTTGTTGTGGTGGTGGTGGTTGTTGCTGAGGCTGAGAAGGCGCCATCAATGGTGGCTGTTGCTGCAAACCAGGTTGATGCTGTGGCAATGGCTGTTGATATGGCGGCTGTTGTTGTGGAGGTTGTTGCTGATATCCTGGTATAGCTTGTGGCGGTGGTCTTTGATACATTCCACGTGATTGATCTTGATAAGTTTGTTGTGGCGGAGGTTGTTGAGATGGTAACGGATATTGTTGATAGTGTCCCTGATACGGTTGTTGTGGTGGATATTGTGAATAAGGTGGTGGTTGCTGTTGCTGTTGTTGTTGTTGCTGTTGTTGTTGCTGCTGCTGCTGCTGTTGTTGTTGTAATTGTTGTTGAGATGGAAGTGGAGTTCTTTGACTATAATATCCTGGACGTTGGTGAGGATATACTTGCTGCTGCGGTTGCTGTTGCTGAGGAGGAATTTGCACACCCGGTGGGGGCATTGATTGCTGTGTTGGTGGTGGTTGTTGCTGTTGTTGTGATTGTTGTGGTGGTGGTTGCTGAGGAGGAGGATATTGTGAAGGTGGAATATTATCAGCCATCCCAACTCCTCCAAGACCTGGTAAATCATTATTTGAAAACGATGACATAATATCAATGTCCATTGATTGTTGTTTATTAGGTTGCTGTTGTTGTGAGGCATTTGCTGGATGTGGAAAAGAATCCGGATGTCTTTGAGGAGCAAGTGGAAGTGGAAGAGAAGACAATGATGGTCCATATAACGATGTCGAAGTAGATGGTTGACCAGGTGCAATCGGAGGACTGTATGTGTTCATACCAGGTGCATTAATAAACGTGAGTCCAGGCACGAAATCATCTTCCTCCTCAACATCCACATCTTTTAATCCCAATTCCTCGGCTTTCTGTTTACCCACATGGAATTTATCTTGCACCGTGTCACCGGGACGCGGTCGAGTCCAAAATCGCGTAGTATGATCGTTCGAACCTGAAACTAAGATGTGTCCTAGTGGGTGCCAATCGAGTGACCAGACATTATTTTCGTGCGCGTATTCTACCGAATCGACCGGTCCCGCGTCTTGTCTGTTTATTTTTTATTGTTAATGGCATGAAAGAGATAATGACAAATACTGATCAAAAAATATAATATATACCCAACTATCCAGAACATCAGTGAACCTTCAGATCCACCAGTAGCAAGTAGTTGTTCGTGAAATGGATGCCATGAAATTGCTATTGTTAATTGGTGTTTAATTACAATAACAATAATGATTAATAACATAAAAATAATTATAATGTAAGAAAATGTTACGAGAAAACGAAATAATTTGTCAACACATACAACAAACTTCTTTCTTATGCCCTCTGAACGTCTGTAGATCCTTCATCATTCGAATATCATAAACTTTTATCAGTTGATCCCGTGCCGCCGTACCAAGCCAATTACCATTTTTGTTCCATTGAAGGCCGACAATTGTGTTTTTGTGGCCGTGTCTGTTTTGATCGTTAGGAATCATTATCATATTCGGTACATAAATTACAGAAAAATTTCATGCATTAGGTAATTACAAGGTATCGATATTTTTCCCGCTTTTAGGATCCCAGAATTTTACTAGATTATCTTTAGCACCGGATGCGAGTAATGCTTTATATGGATGCCAGTCAACTGCCTTCACGTCTCCACCGTGGCCTATGATTTATTTTTTTTTTGGTATTTAATTTTTCATGCATAATCAGTTTGATTAATATAAAGCTAAAATGAAATAATAACATCACACACACAGAGCAAGTGACTGAATAGAAATGAAAAACAAGCAATTACCAGATAACACATTCTCCTCGATCCCTTCATTGAAATCCCAGATCTTTATGGTACCATCATCCGAGCAAGTAGCAAATTTATTATCGGTTGGGGCAAAACTATATTTTTATATGTATGATTGACTATTATTATCATGCTCATGAGTTGTTACAACAAAAGAGAGAAAGAGAAAACTCACGATAAATCCCGTATCGCTTCCTTGTGTCCGTTAATTATCTTTAAATTATTCATATTCGATTGCCAATACTTTATGATTCCTTTGTGATCGGCGGTAACCATCCAGTCGTCGTTATGAGACCATTTCATTGCTCGGACTGCTGATTCATGAGCCTTTTTTTAATTAATGTTATTAATTATATTGTGAGTTGTTAATGATGATTTCTATGATGTTGTTGTCATTGACATGACCGAAACATATATACAAGCAAGAAAGAAAAAAATGTATATGTGGAAGAACAAAATGTCATTTATTGGTGATGATAATAATGTGAATGTTAATTGAGCCCTAATTCAACTAGATAAGTATCCTAATCACTAATATTCGAACTTTTCAGTGACAATATGTATGAAAAAAACTCAAAGAACCAAAAGATGATGTTTTTAAAAAATGGGTTTTATTTAATCAATAAATTTTCTTCGACTCTTTTTACATTAGGCCACGCAAAGTGAATTTTTCGGTTTTTTATATATATATATCATCATTTCATAAGTGATGTCCGCTGACCTCGTATCTTTTATATCCACCCTCCCCCGAGGAAAAATTTTTAAATTGTTTAAATTTAATTTTCAATCTTTTTGTATAATCTGACATCCAAACACCAATTTTTTTTTTTTTTACTTATGACGTGATGTTGTATTTTATCGGAGGCCAAATGCCTCAGAAATGTATTCCAAGTTCTGGAGATCCGGACCAGAAACCAAAAATTTACTTTGCGTGGCCTATAATTTGTCTTTTTTAACGTTTAGTAAACAGTCTCACATCAAAAAGATTGGGAAGACAACACACATACACACACATGAAATAACAGCACGTCAATCATCTGACCCAAAAAACCAAATACGAACCAAACTCATTCAACGATTGAAATCATACCTGCAAAATTGTCTCAAAATTAAATGTTAACCCATTCCACAACGTGAATTCGCCACTAGAGAGTCCAGTGATTAGTCGCCTTCCCTCGGGTGTCCACTTTTTGCGTATTCAATTAATTTTGTCAGCCCATAACATAATCTTTGGATAGATTAAACACACTGAAAATAATTAAAATATTGAATGAATATTTACCCGTACTACAAACACAGGATATCGATTCTTATTTGTCGACGTATGAACGAATTTTGTTGTTACTGCGTTTACTGGATTATGTAGATAAGCAGAAGGTGGAAGAAGCTATCATCAAGAAGTATTAATTATTGAAGAATATTCAAAATATTGGGTGCCAAAATCAACACTGGATTAATAAACACAAACATCTATTATAAAGTTCGTGTCTGGTCTTAAAATTTTTATATCTCTTCTATCGCGCATCCACACTCGATCCTATTAATCGCAAAGAAAATCAATAATACAAAAAGAAAAGGGAAATTCACAAAACAGCATTAACCCAAAAAAATGTAATAATAACCTGCAAATATTTCCCTATCGAACAGTTAAAATCAACAGTACGTCGTTGAATAGCTTTTCTCATTCTCTTGCCATCAAACACCATCCGTTGTGCATTCTGGTAACTAGTGAACCCTGTTCGTCCACCATATCGTTTTCCATACGCACCAGCTGCAGCTGCAGCGGCTGCTCCTCGATCAAATGAGTTGGGAGTCGCGCTTGCGCTTGTGTTCTCAGTGTTTGGTGTTGAAGACTGTAGAATTCCGTCGTCATTTAGGGCAACCTCGGCGTCTCCGTTGTTATTATTGGTGAACTTTAACGAATCAAACCCTGCTGATGAAGCAAACGTCTCTTCTTTTAACTTTATCAGTGCTGTTGGGTCTGCTAACGAGGCATTATCCAAATCCTCCTCTTTTATTTTGTCCGGATTATTTGTATTTTCTATCATGTTTATCAAATTCGGTTAAAGTAATGTCAAACCGAAATTCTACCGATAATGATGGTCATCATTACATTAGTCAGCGTCATCATTTTATATAAAAATGGTTCAGCTGACTCCCCGTTTCCTTGTAATTATATTCCTCCCCACTCTTATTGTTATTGCGTATAGGCGACGTACACACGTTCAGTAGTTGACCGTGTCGTCATGTTGTCAAAGATTAAAACATGGGTTCCGCCCTTTGGACGACTTTTACAGTCCATTGGGGCCAAAGAACTCAAACCTAATACTTCGCCCTCAAATGCCGTCTCGCGGTCTTTGGGTTCTAACCAGCGTCCACTGATTGAAATACAACAACAAAGGTATCCAGCGCAAGCTCCTCAACAAATTCATACACATGAGAAACTCTGGCTTCGTGAATTTATTTCAGAGAAAATCCCAATCGTTAAAGCATTCTCACCGTTTCCTCCTCCCCTTACCTTGGTTGGATGTAACAAACCTGCCACTAGTAAGCTTTTGTTTGGTGGAACTACTAGAACTTTTGCAGCAAATAACCTGGCCTTCGAAAGGTTTCTTCCTGGGCACGGTTTCGCGTTTGGGCGTCAGCGTAGTTTTTGTTCAGCACCTCAGACTATGGTTGCTCATTTCGCCAATAATGGAGGAAATTTGTTGCAAGTTGTTGGCAAGTCATTCTATGTTGCTGCAAAGAAGAATAATGCGTCATTTTTGCAATCCAACGTTCAGAATAATAATGAGAAACCGCAAATTGTTAACTCTAATAAAATTGTCAAAACTACTACTACTCCGGCGAAAAAGACCGAATCTCTTCAACCGCTCTCACCCATTAAATCTATTGGCTTAGTAGATATCATCCAACAGCAACAAAAAGGCTCAGAATCCAATGAAGCCAAAGTTATCCACAGCGTCTATCTGAAAGAAACCATCGAACGCGACACCACTGAGAAGAAAATTCTAGAAGAGATGATCACTTCCGTTGATGATAATGTTCAAGTTTACATTTCGTTCAATATGAACTTGAAAATTGGTTCGTTAAAGTCAAAGTCAGGAATTACGCTCGATCCCTCGTTTATTCAAACTTATGATAACGTCATCAAAAGGCAACATCAAGTGATTTTGGATATATTGGAAAAGTTGTCAAGATTGAATAAAGTTCTTGATATTCAATTCTTGGATTTCGAATTACGCGTTGTATTTCCGCGTGGAATGGACATCAAAAAAGTTCGAGAACTGTTGACAAGTTTGGGAATAGATCTTGACGATCCAGTTTTATCTTTGAGCATTAGCAAAAATGTAGCGAAATCACTCGATAATATAAACCAAAGTTCCATACAAAACTTAGCAGAGCAAACCATGAACTCAAACAATAATAATGTTAATAATACTACTACTACTACTACTATAGATAGTTACTTAGAGTCAAGAGACACGATCTCTGACTTAACCTCTCCATTTTCCAATAAAATTTTGCCAAAGAAACGTAGCGAACGACCTCTCACATTACCTTTTGCTCATCCCTCTAACTTGCAAAGTCATCGCGAAACCTCAAAAAAGAGGTCGTCATCTTCATATGGAAATTCGACTCTCGATCAGACTCAGAATCTGAATTTTAATAATGTGAATGATGATCATAGTCTTGAGATTCACGATTTTTTAAAAGAGGTGAACGAGTTCTCCAGGTATAATTTTGGTGGAAAGCAACTTGTTAATACCTTGACAATTATATCTAAATATAGTCTGTATGTAGCGTAGCTAGGATCATTTTGTAATATTGTGTATTTTTTCAAATTCGGTTTTGTAAAAATGCAATAAATCATTCGTGCAAATGGGTAAAAAAATGGAGACATTACTTAAAAAGTTTTCTATTTTCTGAATAAGATCAATACAGTCGATGATTAAAGATTGATTGAGAATATTTGACTAGGATAAATGATAAGCTTCTCTAAGTTTCCGATGCCACGGAATGCTGATTTCCGGATGGCGATTCAATCGGTACAGCGCTCCAGTCGCGAACTTTTTCAAATACCCAGAAATTTAAACTGCCCAATGGCACCACAATCCATAATCTTGCTGAAATCCCGACATACATGCCTCGTATTCCTTCGGTACGCAATATTGATTTTGCCATAGTCAACCAACGTAAATTCTGTTGGCCGGCTTTCCGCGCAATCTGAATTCGCGTTTTCACGACATCAAATGGTGCAGAGACCACAGTTGCAGTTATACCTGCCGCCATTCCAGAAGTCACCGAAAAGAAAAAGTATGGTGAGGGAAGGAAAGTGAAGTGATGGCGACGTCGATGATAGTGTTCCAATACGAATGTGTATGTGTAGAAATAGGCAGGGAAAAAGGAAATTGTGTTTAAAATTCCCGCAGCCCAACCGCGATACAGAAACCGGTACAATGGCACATCGCGTGGCTTTAGACGCGTAATGAAATTTCGGGAAGAAGGATTAAGGGATGCTTTTGCTGATGTGGCTCCAGGTTGATGAAGAGTTTTGGTTTCGTGCGTTGTGTTAGATGACGATGTTAATCCAATGCTGCTATATGTGGATTGTATTAGATGATTAATAGTATGAATCTTGCGCTTTGGTAACGTGTTTGTTTCTGCTAATGGTATATTTACATTATGAGCGTTCATTGTTTCTTTTTTTGAAACTTGCAATTGTTGCGCAATCACATCAAATGGCACCATAAAGCTTGATGTGGTCACAGCGGCTATTGTTCCTAATAATCCATTAATAGTAGCAGGATCTCGTCCTTCCAGCCAACCAAGTCCAACACTACTTCCTCGTCCCTTATAAACACGCTCTCGTAAAGCGTCATAAGTGGCAAAGTGTACTAAACGTCCAGAGATACTACCGAAAGCGTACACACTTATTCCTTTGTACAAGCCACGTACTCCTTCAGTTCGAACACGTTCTGTGATAACGGATACAAGCGAGGTGGACGAACCAGTACCAATATTGGCCTGTTGAAGAGTTTTACCGGTTCGCACGGGATAGAAAATGTAAATTGGTAAAAGATTGATAAGGAACCCGTAGGCGTAATATCGCTTGAAATCTATGACTTTATTCTGATCAAGGTGTCGGTGACTCATTTTTGCAAGAGTCGGTTAGCGCAGATTGCGGAATCTGTAAAGGACCCTTGCTCGTTTCTTTAAACTATTGAAATTCTTTTTTTGGTAAAGGGTGAATTGACTTTATAGAGATCAATGCGATAAAATCTAAATGAACAAAACGCGGTCTCAGAAAGTGTGCGCGAAAATGAAAATAAGTACATCGGAGATTACAACAAAACCATTGCTATAAACAAAATGAAATAATTAAACATGATTTGATGATGCTAAAGCGAAATTATGACATAAATTTTAAAAATATTAATATTAAATGCATGTAAAAATTACAATAGTTTCAAAATAATATACGCTAACGCTATTAAGCATGCGAAGATGATTGGTTAGTAGCTTTACTATATTTAACGTACAGATTCTTTTGATCAATTAATTAAACAGTCCAGCGAAAAATTCATCCTCAGAACTACTTTTATCATGATGAACAGGTGATGATTTCTTTTGCTGTTCCCTTTTGTCACTCTTTTGTGAATGATTCTTGTCACGTTTATGATGTATCTCTTTGCGACTACTTCTTTTTCCTTCTACGTGAAAATAAGTCATGCATTTAATGACTAGGATCGAGAATGATAGAGTAGGTGATAGACAATCGCTTACCCAATTTGAGTCTCTTTCTTGATGAACCACTTTTTGATAAGCGTTCATCTTGCGATTCATCTTCATCACTATCACTCTCTTCCTCACTCTCCTCTTCACTCTCCGAATAATTTCTTTTATGATGCTTTTTATCGCTTTTAATCTTTCTCTTTTCTTCTTTCTGCATTGGCTCTTGTGTCGCTGCTATTGCAGCCTTATACTTGTTCCTGTAGTTGAGTTTCTCGGAACATTTTGGACATAGCCGAATTTTAACCAGTGCGTTTTTCTTCTCTCCATCTTCCATATACGCAAAATTAACCTCCCATGATTTCAACCCATTGCTTTCTGAGCAACGTGTTGATGCGCATTCAAATTGACCTATGTGAAAAGATTGACAAAGAATCAGAGAAGGGGAAAGGGAAGAATAATGCTCTCGATAAAAAAGGTATAAATTCTGATAACTGACATATCACTTACCTTTACCAGACATCACTTCCTTCTCAATCCGCCACCGCAGAGCAATCTAATAAATTAATAATGAAAAAAATTCGATGGTTTTTGTTAAGATTCACGTACCAATGAACAAAGACTAATAATCAAATGGTGCTATTTACTTTTCCTTCTTTATAATATTTCAATTCGACGATACAATATTCTTTAAATAACTTGTCATAATACTTTTTCGCGACGCGTTGTTCCCATGTTAATTCTTGTTCATCTTCAGCTTCAGATCGAAGAAATCTATAAAATTCAATAATTTAATCTTTAATCATTTAGATCGCGAGAATTTAAAATCAGGGGTTTACATTTTACAACATACTTGTGGTTTTCTTTTAAAATATCAAACTCTGTCTTTGTTTCGGTAGAGTCGAGTGTTGTAGCTTCATGTTTTCTCCCATAGAATCTTACATAGTCATTAATGAACTTCTTATGCCTAGTAAACTAGTCCCATTTTTTCAGGAAAGGGTCTACTTAGTTCTGGTGATCTTTGTTACTTTCCTGAACTGATAAAAAATTGATCACAAAGACTAACAGCTACAATAGCGTACAGCGTCTAAGCCCTTCAAATTATCACGAAATACTGATTTCGCATATTCACTTTGCTCTTTTAAGTTCGTGGAAATGAGATTTTTTGAAGACATGATAATAAACTAATCGGATCTAGCCGTTAAAAATTTGTTTTTCTAGATTATAAGATCATGTATTTAATAGGTCCTATTTTGGATTAATGTTATCGCCTCTTTGGCCCAGTGGCAAGGCGTCGCTCTCGTAAAGCGAAGATCGGTGGTTCGAATCCGCCAAGGGGCTTCTTTTAATCTTTTTCTGAATGAAAAACCACCAAAGATATCATTATTCATGAATTCAAGTCAAAAAACTTGTTCTAATAAAATAAATGCATATTCCCTTGATTTTTTCAATAAATTATCTAAAATTTCTTTGATTTTTTCAATAATAATACAATAAAGTTTATATTAAATTATATAAATTAGTGAAGATTTATCTCAAAATAAAAGTTATTAATTGCCTCTAATAAAAATAGGTAAATTTAAATATTCAATTTTTGAATTAGTCCTTTTTAATACAAAAATTACAAGAAATGATAATCTATGTTCTCATGTGATTGGTCGAAAAAAATCTGGTTAATAAAGGTAAAAAAAGTTTCCTTTTTTTCGCTATACTTTGCCTGGTCTTTTTCGAAAAAATGGTAGTTATTTTATTTCGTTTCGTCATGAAAAGGAATGCGGCACTATTAGTTATTTGATCTAGTTTTTTTTTGCCTGCCAAATTCTTGAATCTTGACAAAAGGTCAACGTTCCGAAAACCAGAAACACATATTGCAAGGGGAAAAATTGCAAAAAACATACACCTCATAAAGTCTCACAATACAAGAAGGGAAAAGATTCTCTTTATGTTCAAGGTTTCTATATAAGTTTGCTTGTTTTTTAGGCATAAGCACATTTTAAAAGATAGCGTTTATTAATTGGCATCGATATTTTATTAAACAAGGGAAAAGACGTTATGACCGTAAGCAAGCCGGTTATGGTGGTCAAACTAAGCCAGTCTTTCACAAAAAAGGTACGAGAGATTGTTTTAAATTTTGTTTTAAATTTTTATACAGAAGTTGATGTTAATTATTAGTATGTTGAAGAATTATTCAAATGTCTTGATATCAATTAATAGCCAAGACTACCAAAAAGATTGTCCTTCGTTTAGAGTGTCAAAGCTGTAAATATAAGCATCAGATAGCGTTAAAACGATGCAAACATTTTGAACTTGGTGGTGATAAGAAGGTTTGTGTTCTAATAAACTTATTTTATTTAATATGTTATTAATAGTTGAATAATCGAATTGTTTCTGCTTTTTATAATAGACAAAGGGAGCTGCTCTCGTGTTTTAATCGAATTGGTGAATTATGTGTTTGTCGGTTTTTAATAAAGTTTTTAGTATTGAAGCTTCATCGAATTAGAAATATATTTAACTGTTCTTGAAGTTGAATTATTATTATTATAATTTTGAGGATCTGCGTATTCGCTTTCTTAAGCGATCACCAGTTCCATAAATATCAACATGATTGAAGAGGCACAACTCTGTGTCTCTTTAATGTAGAAGCACATAGAAATAGAAAAAAAGACTTGGAAAAATTAAACATGCATTTTTCACCCCTAAAGTAATCCTGACTGATAATGTTTTACGATATATAAACCGTGAGAACCGAGGGATTTAAAGAATTATTAAGATTTTAAAATCTATCCTAGAATTACTGCTACCAAATGAAACAGAAGGCTATATAATATACAAGAGATTAGATTTTTTACAATTTATTTTCAATGTTTTTCGAAGAAACATTTCAAGAATACAGTCTAAAATTAGAGCAATGATAATCGATCATTAAAGAAAATGAAAATAAATAATTCAAAGAAAAATAACAGCTAAAATGGTTAAACAACCAATAATTAAACATAATCGAGATAAGACTGTGTGTTGTGGGGAATAGTTGTCGACTGTTGTTCCTAGTCCGGGTGCCGGAGCTGAAAGAAAAGTCTTTATTGTCGTCAAAGAGCATAATAAAGAAGATTAGTTAATTTATTTTTTTTTTATTGCGCTAAGAAAGTAACTATTGGAAATGAGCTTACAAATTCAGCACCAAAAAATGAAGGAAAAAGACTAACACCAGAAGTTACCGAGAAATGCGGATTGAATGCTGTTGTGGAGTGTAATCCGGGAAAGAATGGCGATCCTGTTGAGTTTGGATCTCGGCGTGGTTGAGGTCTTTGACCGGCTGGTCGATTTGGAATATCTGAATGGATTCTACATTAAACATTAGAAATAGCAAATTAGTTAAAAATTCGATAAACTTTTTTTTGAGCACGAAACATAAATATTGTATACCTCGGATCTTTAGCTTCTCTCCCTCGTCCATATATAGGGATTACTTTATCCTTACCGCATCCCGCTTTGCAGACGGGACATAACGGGTTCTGTGATTGTATTTCTACCCACTAATAAAAATATATAAATTATAAAATTTAAATTTCTAATTATTAAATAAAAAGCCAGTTCCTGAATCTTACTTGATGAAGACATGGCCAACTATCATATTGAAATTGTTCGAATAGATAAAATTCATCAGCTATTTATTTCCACGTAAATTTACAATTAAATATGTTATATCTAAATTCCAATTTACCAAAATAAATGCCCACATAAAGTCAGAACAGGCGAAGAAGCCGTATCAAAACTAATAAAAAGATATTAAATCGTGAATATGAATAATCCCTTGATAAAGGAATCCCTTTTCTTGACAGAATATTTCCTCACCAAATGTTACATTCATACTCCGAAGAGACATTACTAGTAGTAGCATTACCACGCTTATTATTATCATCATCATCATCATCATTATTATTAATTCTGGGCTCAGAAGGACCTTTCTGGTTACTGCTACCCTCTCCTATAGATGACGAAGTTTCACTGGCAAATGGATCTTCTTTGATTTCAGTTGATGCATTTTCTTTGATATCACTCGTATCACTACATTCTTTAGTTGGAATGCCAGAAATTAAACACGAGCTCATAGCACCACCAGTAGTGCTAGCACTAGTACCACTGCAACTAGTACTTTTATTATTAAAAGTATCCAAGGATCTTTTCAGCTTCGAAACACCTTCCACATGACGTTGTCTCAGAGAGTATTTCGAGGACGGGCGTGGCTCACTCTCCACTTCTAATGTATTGGCTAAAGTTTGTTCGGCAATTTCGACAGTTTCATTATTGCTCTTTTTTTCCTTCTTGATATAAAAATCATAATTCTCGTCCGAGTTTTCTGCACTGTTGGCTTGTGAAATTTCTGGTAGACCGTCAAAGTCTTCAGCCCCGAGAATTTTCCAAGATTCGTTCATTTGGTGATATCACATACATTCCACCACACGTTTGAAGATTGATTCAAGGCAAATTACGCCAAGATCAATTTTCATTTGCCGAAAAAAGGGTTCACTAAAACCGGGTAATATCACGTGGTAAACTACCAAACCAATCCGATTGTAAACGCAAAAAATTCAAAACAAAAGAAAAATTGTAGATAGCTTAGAATTTTACTATGATAACTAGCCTTTTATCGCTAAGTAAAAATGCTCAGTGCAAAAATTTAGGTATGATTCTTCACGTGATCAATATTATTTTACCTAAAAATGGAACATATGTGTGTATGCATCGGGGTAAATAGTAATCCCAAAGCTTTTCTGATTTTTTTCGCAACCTCATCTTTCTAATCAATAGTTTAATACACATGGCAGGGGCTTTTTTATTAACTTTTTCTTTTGCCAGGAAGAGATATAAAATCTTCTTCAAGCATTTGCCATACATTTCTCCTCACGTCATCCTTTAAAATGAAATTTTTAGATACAAACTTTAACATTTTATCTAAGCAGATTCAAAAAATTGAACTGAACTTGAATCAGACTTTTTTAATGTCATTGTTCCTTACGTCATTGATTAAGCCACTGATCAGTGTTAGTATGTTAAAATCACATCGCAGCAACACATCATTCCATCAACAAAAAAAAAATGGGGGGAAGCAACGGAAGGAATATGTGATAAAAACATGGTTATATATTTTATTTCATTGTTCTTACAAATAACTCTCTGCAGTGATAAAAGAAAATAAGAAAAGATGGTGGGTAATTGTTAATGCCATTCCAAATTCAGTTCGTGAAAATGTATACTTTGTTGATCCAACGAAGGAGAGTGTTCCGCTCCTTGATAAGATTTGGAGAGGAGAATTTGTTGTTTTGTATGGTGCACGTGCTTCTGGAAAATCCACACGTATGATGCAGGTTATGGCACAGTTGACACGCGAAGGCTTTATTTGTATTTAGTAAGCTCTGTTTAATGAGTTCTGTTTAAGTCAATTGATCACATTTACGGAGTCTAATTGTTGATGTTATTTCTTTTCTCTTTGGAACAGCGTAACTCTCGAGCTAATTAACATAAAATCCGTAGAATCATTCTGGATATCACTCGGCCTTTCTTTCGAAACTAGTATCAAATCCTTCGCTAAATTTTTTGGGAAAAACAATTGTGAAAAAAAGGTGGTTCTCTTTGTCGATGAGTACGATCGATTGTACGATGCAGATGATGACATTAGAGCCTCGTTCCTTGGGGCCATCCATGACATTAAAAATGCAAAAGATGATTATTCTCTCTGGTCTTGTGTGGCCATCGGTCCCTTCAGTATCTTACATCTGAGTTCAAACAGGAGTGCGTCGCCCTTCAATGTGAAGGATCCATTCCAAAATCCAAATTTCACGAAGGAGCAAGTACAGCTATTATATAGAGACTTTGCAGATGACTATCACTATTGATCCGGCAATCGTTGAAGACATTTACACACGGACAAATGGGTGTGTGATTTTATCGTAGAGGCACGTGACAAATCGAAAATCTAAAATTCACTTTCCACGATTCTGTTATTTGACAGGCATGTCGGCCTTGTATGCCTTTGCGGAAAAGAGATTCATGTATACTTAATAAGGAAACTTGACGGAAGAAGAAGGCTTGACTTCTTAACCTGGTTGGACTACACCATTAATTCATTGCAAGAAGCGGTGCTTGATTACCCCACCTTCAGACAGATGGTCCATACGCTTACCAAGGATAAAGCTAGGCAAGCTATGCAACTTGTTCGATCTGCATTCGTAGGATTCTTTGATTTAGTGCAGATCGTTAATAATGAAGAAAGAAATTTAGCGGAATTCTTAACAACGGAGGGTGTGCTAATTAGGGATGAAGAGACCAAAGATGGATTCAAAATGTCATCTGTTCTCGTAGATGAGCTGGTTCGACGAAAAGTCATTCCTGAATTATTCAAGTCTATCCCCAACAGTTGCATTTCCTAAAAAAGATCGATTCCTTGATATCGTCAACACTTTGAAGATAGTCGTCCAATTTTTTGACCAAGACACCATTTATAGAGCATTCCATCGGTCATTTAAAACAGCGCGTGATGCATATGTGAACGGTCAAAAAAACGAACATGTTCCTTGAGAAAACAGAATCTTAATCAACTGGATTACCACACATGGTAATTTCGAGGTCACTTGTCAGTAGCATTTGGTAGAACATCGTGTCAACAAAAGAAATAAACAGAGATATAGTGATATTGTAATTACAACTTCACGTCAGAAGATTGTTTTGGAACTTCTAGCTACTGCGACCAAAACACAGCTCAATGAACACTTTGTACGGGTAATTGAATATGGGAACAAGCTATCTACGGAAGATGTTTGGATAGTACATTTCACATGTGAGGATAATTCAACCCAAAATCCCTATTATCTATCTGATAAAGAATTCAGCAAACTCAATATTGTACATTTCTGGCATGATAAAGAGTGCGATTGAGTGGATAGCTCTGGTGCTTTTAATTATATTAATGATGAACTGATCATACATAAAAATAATCTTAGTTAAATATTTATGCATTGTTGTTGAACAATAGCTTTCTATGTTAAAAAATTTCTTTGTCTGAGCATGTCTTCTGAGAACGAAATTTACACGAATTACAATTTATTTTTTTGCTAATAAAAATGAAACCAAAAAAATCATTGCTGCTTTATTATATGTATAAAAGCTTTCCAGAGAGATATCAGAAGAAAATTGATGGAAAATTATAAAATATATGACATTGCTTTCAAGTTCATATAATCATAATTATTAATAATGGTAATCAAAAGAAAGCTATGCATTATATAAAGAAAACAAGATTAGTAAAGTATAATTAATATATAGGATTAGATATATATATACATATAGAGAATAATAATTCTGCTAAATATGAAAAAGCAATTTTTTTGAAACAGATTTGCTCTTCAAAAGAAAAAATATATCAAATTATGTGAGGTATTACAATCTCTCTTTAGATAGTTTAACTAAAAAGTAATAAATAGTGAAAACAAAAAAAATTTCGAAACAAATGAACAGATTAAAAATCAACAAACATTACAAACTACTTTACATGCAGTAACATCAAAAAAAGAAGTAATAAAAAACTTAATTGAAGCATTTACGTGAGTGTGGTATTTAAATTAGATGTATATTTGAATAGTTTAACAAATCATTTACCGATTTTTTCACAAATCCACCTGTTACCTATATCAAGTTGCGCCGTTGAACGTAGCTTTTTCTTTATTTAATTTATATAATTCACTTTTAGATAGTGACCGTCAAAACTTATCAAAAGAATCACTTAAGCAACTTAATATGATGTATTTCAATCGAGATAGTTGAGATTTTTTTTATAGTATAGCAATTTAATAATGAAACCGAGACAAATTTACCATAACAGGCAACTAATTATTAAAAAGAATCGAACACAAGTTTACATCGCTGTCTTACTGCTACTATCATAATTATTGCTGTCATTAATCATTTACATTTTCGTCAATCCAACGTTGAATTGCCTCAATGGTCTTTTTCCGTGGAGTTGTTCTCCGAAGATAAAACCTTCTTATCATAGATGCAACAATGGCCTTCTGTTCGTTGAACAGCTTATGAATTTAAAATGCGATTTTGTTGAACGAAATTTTGGAATATCTGGCGAATAAATTTTTTTGCCGCTGACAGTTTTTGTTATTAGTTGTAACCTCAGTATCTTAATTAAGGCACCCGTATTGTGGAGCTAGCCGTTACTAGTCATGTCATTTAGCAATGAATTAATACTCCAAAAAAATTCGCTTGTGAATGCATTTTTCGTTTCGTAGAGTGGAAATTGTTATTTTAAACGACGTATTGTTTAACGATATTTATTGCTTTGTGGTTGCTTTCTGAATAAGTGAACCTGTGCTGTTTTTATAATAAAATCTTCGTTTGTTCATTATACGCGTATGCTTAATTAGACAAACGCGAGTTTCTGCGCATCAATTGTTATTGATTAACCACTAATCAGTGTTTGTATATTAACATCACATCGCAGCAACACATCTTTCTATTAACAAAAAATGGCAACTTACGAAAAGAAAGCACATGTTAATTTGTGGTTATTATGAAAGTATTGAGCTAAATTTTATGATGCTTGATTATATTAAATTTAAGTGTGATGGCAGTTTTTGGATTGCTTAAAAAACTTTACCAAAAAATAATGATGGATTGCATGAATCATATTGTTGAGATTGTGAAAAGATCAAGTACAGCAAAATTAAACAAAGATCAGTATCATAACAATAAAAAAGATTTTTAATACTTAGATCTTAATTCTATGTTAAGAATTTTCTTTTAAAAATTGAATGATTTGTAAAAATATTAGCATATTTTCTTTTGAAGCAGCTAATTCTAATATTGTCAAAGCTCAGATCTTTACTAATGATGCTTATATTGAATTTAATTTGTTAAAAATTAGAAAAGTAAATTTATCTGAAATTATTCAAGAAATTAAATCTTTATTTATATTAAGATTAATTTTATTATTTTAAAATATAAAAGATAAAAATATTTTTATTATAATATTTATTAATAATAAATTAAAAATATTATTTATTTTAAGTTAATATAAAAGATTAAAATATATATTGATCTGATTTATTTCTTTATTTTTTTACATTTATTTATAATATTTATTAAAGATAAATTAAAGATATTATTTATTTTAAATTAATATAAAATATTAAAATATATATTAATTTAATTTATTTCTTTTATTTTTTATATTTATTTATTTGTTTTCTTTATTTTTTATTTTTTTTCTATCATTAAATAATTATTATATTAAAAAAGTGTTAAATAATATAATTAATTCTTATTTTTCTTAATTTTAATTATTTTAATAATAAAAATAACTAAAAGAAATAATAATATTTATAATTAATTATTTGATAATTTTTTCTTTCTTATTTTTATTAATTTTTTAAATATAATTCCTAAAGACTTCTTTATTTTTAATAACAAATATCAGAATTTTTAACTTTTTAATTATTTTTTATTTTTATAATATTATTAAATTGATTATTTTTTGTAATAAATTTATATTTTTTTATTATTTTTATAATTTAAAATTAAAAAATAAACTCAAATTTGTGAAATTAATTATTAAAAATAGATTTATTATCTTTGTATATTTATTTTTTTATATTTTTGCAACTTTTTTTTATTAAATTAATTTTAAATATTCTTGAATAAAATAATTATATACTTATAATTTAGTAATTATTTTGCTTTTTTTAATTATAATAAGATAATTTTTTTCTTGTATTATTTTCTAATTTTAATATAAATTTCTTTTTAGTAAAAAATATATTCTTAAGTTATAATTGAAATGAAATATAAGAAATCTGATTATTATTACTTATAAGAAAAGAAAAAATAAAAACAAATAAGAAGTTATTTATATTTATTTTTATTTAAAACTTCACTCTTTTATTTTATAATAATATATTCTTATTTTGCTTTCTAATATTTCTTTGATTTCTTTCTTCTTGATAAATTTTAAAAGTGATTTTTTTTATTAGATATTTCTCAAGAATTTTAGTAATATTAATTTTAAAAATATATAAAATAATTTTTTCATTTTGTTTTTTTTTAAAATACTTCTAATAATATTATAATTCTTTGATTTCATAATGAATTTAATATAAATTAGTTTCATATTTATATTTTTATATGACTATACTTCTGTATTAATATGGATGTCATGAGCCATAGCTGGATTACTAAATCAAAGCACGGCTATATTAGCTAATTTTTTCAATTACACTAGTCATTTTTGAATTCATGTGACACTTTGTTGCAGCATTAACTAACCACATGTAGGCATGATAACTTTTACTTGCTCATGTGAATTCGAAGCTTTTACTCAAAAAAAATTGTTAAAAAGTTAACCCTTTATGATCATAACATGACTCGACGATCTTTCAACATCGATATGCAAAATTTCCTCATCTTAATTTTGCTTTTGCCGATCCCGAATTGGTATTTCAAGCATTCTTAATTAATTGCTGGGATATTCTTATTAGCTATTAAATGATGACCAATAGGAAACCTAGTGAGGCGGTCGATCACGGAATTTTACTTTTAATACATGTACATGTATAGCGATTTTGATAGTTAGAAAGTTTTTTTGAAAATGACCAATAACAAAAGGTCATACTAATAAAAGTTGGTGGAACAATCAGCGATGAGATTTAACTGTGTCCAATCATAACTTGTGGGGAGATTAGTAATGCTGTCAACGTCGGAAAAATTCTATTTTAATGTTAGGGACGTGCCATTTATTACGTGATTTTTACCACGGATACATGGGTCAGTTGATCTATCATTTTATATAGTTGATCTATCATTTTATATATTGTGGCAGCTGAAGCTACATAAAAATCACGTGACGTGCATTTGCCCTACTTGTGTAGAAGTTCGGCTTATCACATCTGTTTTTATTTGAACAAAGAATAAATTTTTGAGCTTAAAAGATCATAGAGAATTTTCTAACAAAATAATAATATTAATTTATTTGTTGACTTAAATTGTACTTTTATGTTAACGTGACGCGAATTTTATCAAAAAATTTATTTTCATGTATAGGTAATAAATACAGTGACCTGTTCTTGTTTCGGAGATTGATTCAATTTCGCCTATAAAAAAACTATCATCGATATTGTATGTTACACATTGTTACACACTGAGGAAGGGAGATCATCCTATTCATATGAGGATGATGATCCAGAAATATTGCAAGTTAGTTTTGAATCGCGAAGTGCTGCAACTGCAGGTAAATACGCGCTTGCTAATCAGAACAAACGCCCTCTGTGCAATCACGTTTGCTTCGTTCATTTTATCAAATTGAATTGATATTACTGTTTATTGAATGCGATTTTGGTTTTTTTTTTTTTTTTTTTTTTTTTTTACTAAGGTG